ACACACACACACACACACACACACACACACACACACACACACACAGTAGCTAGATCTCAGAGAAGGCACTAGCATCCAGGGGATAGGTAAAGGGCTCTTGCAGAAGGTAAGATTTGAACTGAAACTCTTAACTGATATCTTCATGATTCTGCGCTCCTTCAGAGATCACAAGGATCACCGGTTTAGTGCTGGCAGGCATTGTAGAGATCACCTGATCCAACCCCCTCATTATATAAATCAGGAAACAGAACCAGACAAAGAAGGAGTGAACTGCCCGAGGCCATAGCTAATTGTATACAATATGAGACCTTCTCAGGACCAATTCTACCTTAGCTTCATGAGATACTAATAGAAATAATTATTAACTACACCTTGAAATGAATAAATGATATTTATGATAAAAAGCATTAATCAAAGGCTTGCTTTGTGCAAAGCACCGGGGTACAAAGAGAGAAATGAGTCCCTGCTCTCAAGGACAGGGGTCCATGTGGTATTAGGGACAGAGAGCACCTGGAGGAGGGTGCAGCTGCTGGGCAGATGACAAGGCCCTGTGGTCCTCAGGGTAGAACAGCAAGCAGATGGCAATGCCTCTTCTTTAATGTCATTCCAAAGAGTAAAACCATATCTGTTTCTGATACTGAACCATTGGACAGACAGGAACTACTGTTTTTGTTTGCACAGTGCCTGATACATACTGGGGGCAGCTAGGTGGTGCCATAGTGCATAGTGCACTGGGCCTGGAGTCAAGAAGACATCTTCCTGAGTTCAAATGTGGCCTGAGACACTTATTACCTGTGTGACCCTGGGCAAGTCATTTCAACCTGGTGGCCTCAGTTTCCTCATCTGTAAAATGAGCTGGAGAAGGAAATGGCAAACCACTTCAGAATCTTTGCTAAGAAAACACACCAAACAGGATCCTGAAGAGTCAGAACAACAATAACTAGCACATAATAAGTACTTAAATGTTTGTCATCTGCCTGCCAAGAGCTTTGGTGGCAAGAACTCTCTTTTCTAGGTCTTTGGGAACTGTGGGTGCTGAGGAGGTGAGGGCTGCAGCCCCTGTACTGGCAGCTGGTCGTTGCATTTCCACAAGGGTCTCATCATTAGCCAGTGGTTTTGGGGTAGAGAGGGAAGGCTTGGCTAGAAGCAGGCTTGATGTGCTGGGTAGCGGTTGTACTACATGCCACTGTCTGTCTCTCCCTCTGTGCGCCCTGTTGCTTTAGCTAGGCTGGCTGACTTACCCCTGAGGTGGCAGCTGGTTGGCATTGGTGACAGGGATGGCCGGTCTCATTCTACCCAGGGTTTACTCCTCTGGCAGATGGTTTGGGGCCTGCCTTGGAAGCAAGGCTGGTGGTTATGAAAGATAAAGTATTAATAGTTCTGAAGTTGACAGCATCAGGCATACTTGGGCACAGATACCACAGTATACTCCCTCTACAAAATGGGCAAGTCTCCACCCAAATACATGGCAGAGAGCAACTCATTGCTTCCCTTAAGCTCTGGGTTTAAGAAATGCAGCAAAGGGGAAAAAATTCTCCATTCCTTTATGCTCATTGAGGGTGGAGGTGAGGATTTTTCACCCCAACCACTCCCATTCCCTTTTTAAAGGCTTGATACTTAGAAAATTATTTGCAATGTAGTCATGACAAGGCATTTTTTTTTTAACTTTGCCCTACAAAGTTAATTAGATAAATGTTTCTGTCCTGTAGGACAGAAACCTTTGTGTTGACTCTTGGCTTCCTTCCCAAGGTCTGGATCTGCCCAGTTCCTCCCCTTTTCCCCTCCATTCCTTCCCCCTACCCAATTCCCCAAGATTGTGACACTCTTATCTAGGCTGGGGTTAGGAATAAAACCAAGCTCTAGGTAAACCTCAGACAAGCTAGGCACTGAATTGCCGGCATATCATGCTGCCCCACAGCAATAGCTAGCAACAGCTTTCATAGCCCTACCTTCAAAGATCCAGTTAAACTCGAAAATCTGAATCAGGCAATCCAGTGGTTTAGATTCATGACATTCGGGGTGGAGAAGTGTCTCGAGGTAGTCAATTCATGCTATTGGTTCGGCCCAGCCAACAGAGGAATGGACCAGTTTTTTTTTTTTCCTAAATTCATTTTTGTTTTATTTTCAAGTTAAAATTTTCTCCTTCCACCTCCCCTCTCCCCATTGAGAAATTAAGAAAAACAAAATCTGTTACAAATGTTTAGTCAAGCAAAACACGACTTTTTTTTTTCTTTTGCTAATTAAGTCACTGCCTAATACTTTAGAATGAGAAAAGCTCCCAATGATATTCTCCATTGAATAAGACATGTATTTTTGGATGTGGCCAATGCAGAAATTTATTTTGTTTTATTATGCATATTTCTTACAAGAGTCTTTTTTTCTTTTTTTTTTCCAATTTGAGGATAGGTGTGAGTGAAAGAGGAGCTGGGGAGGAGGTAGCCACCCCCCCCCCAAAAAAGGAAAAAGGAAATGGAGTCATTTAAGCTTTTTTTGGGGGGGGGTGAGGCAATTGGGGTTAAGTGACTTGCCCAAGGTCACACAGCTAGTGCGTGTCAAGTGTTTGGTCTGAGGCTGGATTTGAACTCAGGTCCTCCTGACTTCAGGGCCAGTGCTCTCTCCACTGTGCCACCTAGCTGCCCCAACTTTTTTCTTTTTTTAAGTATTTTATTTTTCCCCAGTTATACATAAAAACAATTTTAACATTTGTTTTTTTTTTTAATTTTGAATTCCAAATTCTCTCTCTCCCCTCTCCTTGAGAAGGCAAGTAATTTGATATAGGTTATATATGTGCAGTCATGTGAAACATATTTTTATATTAGCCATGCTATGAAAGAAAACACAAACCAAAAGGAAAAAAAAAAACAAGAAAAATAAAGTTAAAAAATAGTATGCTTCATGGGCAACTAGGTGGCACAGTGGATAGAGTACTGGCCCAGAAGTCAGGAGGACCTGACTTCAAATCCAGCCTCAGACCAAACATGACTTACTAGCTGTGTGACCCTGGGCAAGTCACTTAACCCCAATTGCCTAAAAAAAATTTTTTTAAGAAAATAGTATGCTTCAATCTGCAATCAGACTCCATCAGTTCTTTCTCTGGAAGTGGATAGCATTTTTCATCATGAGTCCTTCAGAATTATCTTGGATCATTGTATTGCTGAAAATAGCCAAGTCATTCATAGTACAATATTGCTGTTACTGTGTACAATGTTTTCCTGGTTGTGCTCATTTCACTTTGCATCAGTTCGTGTAAGTCTTTCTAGGTTTTTCTGAAAGCATCTTGCTTGTCATTTCTTAGAGCATAATAGTATTCTATCACAATCATATGCCACAAATTGTTCAGCCATTCCCCAATTGATAGGCATCCCCTCAAATTCCAATTCTTTGCCCCCACAAAAAGAGATGCTATAAATATTTTTGTACATATAGGTCCTTTTCCTTTTTTTAAATCTCTTTGGAGATTTAAAGGCCTAGTATTGCTGGGTCAAAGGGTATACACAGTTTTATATCCCTTCGGGCATAATTCCTGGTTGCCTCCCAGAATGGTTCAAACAGTTCACAACTCTACCAACAATGCATTAGTGTCTCAGTTTTCCCATATCCCCTCCAACATTTGTCATTTTCCTTTTCTGTCATATTAGCCTAATAGGTGTGAGGTAGTACCTCAGAGTTGTTTTAATTTGCTTTCTCCAATCAATAGTGATTTAGAGCATTTTTTCATGTGATTATACATAGCTTTGATTTCTTCATCTGAAAACTTCATATCCTTTGACCAATTATCAATTGAGGAATGATTTGTATTCTTATAAATTTAACTTGTTCTCTACGTATTTGAGAAATGCTATTATTAGAGATACTTACTGTAAAAGTTTTTTTCGTAGTTATGATTACTGCATATTTTCCTTCATCTTATTTTTCCCCTGTTTATCCCACTCTCTCTCTCTCTCTCCTTTCACCCTCAAAAGTGGTTTGTTTCTAACTACACCTCCCTTAATCGACCCTCCCTGCTATCAGCCACCCTCCCTTCTCTTATCTCCTTCCCCTCCTAACTTCTTGTAGGATAAGATAGATTTCTATTTTTTTTTAAAGCACAGAAGAAAACAGAAAGAAGATTAAAAAGAATCACAGACAAGCAGGACAACTTTGAACGTTCTATGTTGAAATTTATTATATAATTAAAAAGAAAAGCAAGCTGTACACAATAGAGAGCTGCAGTTTCTTGTAAAGCCCTCAGTCCATTCTACTATACATATACATATACATAGAAATATAAATTGAAATGCCCATTTTATTTGGTGTTTATGATATTCAGAATTTAAAAACTATTTTAAAGAATTCTGTATTTAGAAGAGGGTGGGGAGGGAGGAAATGAGAGAATTTGGAACTCATAGTTTTAAAAAAAGTGTTAAAAATTGTTTTTACATGTAATTGGGGGAAAATAAACACTAAATAAATAAAAAACAAAAAAAATTCTGTATTCATAAAATAGTTTTTACTTATAAAGGCCCAAAGTTTTCATGATATTTCCATGATTTCTATGGGCTTTTCCAGCTTTAGGTCCTATGTTCCTAAAGAAAGGTTGGGAATCATTGCACCACTTTTCTCACACAGCCTCTGCTGCCTCCTCCTGACCACACCCTCCTTTTTAAAGACCTGTAGACACTCTTGGAATGGGAATTTCCAAAAAGCCTGTGGGTTTTTCATCAAAAGTCAGGAGTGGAAAATGTGATCATTATTCTCCTGTATTAAGTACTCACTCCTTGACTCATAGCTATGAACAGAGATGAGGTTCAGCAACAAAACTCTTTACCCCCATTAATTCATCTGGATCACACTGACTTTGTGTAGGGCAGGATATTACTCAATCTCTTTGGTGAATTAATAATCAATATAATAATAAATATTTGTTATATATACTGTAGTAGTATAATAAGTAATGCAAAATAATAGTTTCATTTAACAGAAATTAAATATAAACTATAATAAACACTACATATTTGTTACTAGGAATATATTATATTTATAGATTTTATATTTAGAACTCCATTGTCTGTTTATATATTTAGAAATATATTATGTAAATAATATATTTGTAATATAGAGATGTTATATAAATAATGTTTATAATATATTTAGAGATGTAAATATATTGACAAAATATATTTGTAGAAAATTTATTTAGAAATATATTATATAAATAATATATTTATATAAACTATATTTAGAAATATATTATTTAATAATACATATATAAACACATCACAATTATATGTAAATAGAATAAATATTATAAAAAATATTATTAAAGATGTTTTAAAGATATGTGATCATTAAGCAAGGAAGAATATTTGTGCAATCAATGATCCATGGACAATTCTTAAAAGTAATCATATTTATTCTAGGAAGGCATTGTTATATATTAGAAAGAGAATTAGTTTGGGAGTCAGAAGATGTGGGTTCACATCTCTCTCTGGCAAGGTTTCCAGAAGGTGACTGATTACTTCTCCTCTCAGGTTTCTCTGGATCTATATTAATTGTGTGTGTGTGTGTGTGTGTGTGTGTGTGTGTGTGTGTTGGGGTGGGGTTTATACCCAACATTATATCAAAGAGAACATCCTCGAAATTACAGTTATCTAAAAGTGGAATGGCAGAATGAGCTGTCTGAAGACTTGGTGGGTCCTGCCTCCTTGGAATCTTCAAGTAGAGATTGGACAACACCTTGCTGACTTTTTTTTATAATGGGACTTCTTTTTGTTTATAGGTTGGACTAAATGGTCACAATTGCCATTTCCATCTCTCACATTCTATGGTTCTTTGCTATACTATGACTACTTATCCATTGGGGAATGGCTCTTGGTTTTATTTATAACCTTCAGCTCAAAGTCTATTTGCATAAGACTTTTTCCATTGGTGGAGATTGTTACTCAATGCTCTAAGCTCGAGTGAGGGGTAGAGTTAGCAAATTTGTATCAATTCCCTATATGTATTGATTATCAAGCTTTTGTCAGTGATATTTGATGCAAAGCTTTTTTTCCCACTCCACAATTTATCTTCTTTTTTGTGTTTATTACTTTCATTCAAAAGCTGTTTAATTTTCTGTAACCCCAATTGTCCATTTTGTCTTTCACGATCATCTCTCTCTCTTTTGAAAGATGTTATCTCCTTCTGTTCCCCTTCCCTTTTCTCTTCTGTACTATCTCTTTTGACTGTTTATCTGCAATGTTAAAGACAGGGCTCAGAGATAATGAGTGAAGAAGAAAAAGTCATTATAAATACAGGTAGTTAGTTCCCAACTTAGTTGAGGTCCTAGACCCTACACTCATAACTTGAGGGACTGGATCAGAAGAGACCATGTCTTTCATGTGAGTACTGATTAAAGAATCTAGGGATGTTTAGCAAGGAGAATAGACAATTTAGGTAAGAGGAATTAGATTTTTTTGGCCATGAAGCATAGGAGCAATTGATGGCATCATCATCGATACCTATTGATTATTAATTTATTAATAAATATAATCATCATTATTACTGATGATGATGGTAGACTTTTGTATGGT